CTACTTTCATCCACAACCACTTTCTGAGGGACTGCTTTTAGGAAGTTCTCATAAAACGATCACTGCACTGGCAAACAACTTTGTTTGATCCAGAGGCCGCACTACAGTTTGCCTTGGCTACTTTTTGCCAGAATTTTTTATTGATTTTCTTAAAGTAATTATAACATTAATACAAAAAAAAAGAGCATTTTCCAGGAGAACACCCAACAGTGAGGAAGAAAGGAAGGGTATGCTCTTCCTTTTTACTGAATGTCATCTCCATAGATTTGCATATCCTGCATATCAACTAGGTAAATAAACTGCTAATTAATATCTCCTATATTTATTTGCTGTATAAACCATGGAATTAGCTCCCTGAAAATCTGTGCTGTTTATGCCTAAGTCTTGTTTTGGCACAGCCTAACTGCATCCAATGAAAGACATTAATTTTCAGGATATTTTTGGACTTGTGCAAGAGGCAGCGAAGAACAATAACTGATGGAAGCAGGGAAGGAGAAAAAGGAAATGTCTTCTGATCCCTCAGGATTTCGTAAGTTTGTCAGAACTCCTTCCAAGGTCCTTGTTCTAGACTCAGCAAGCCTGAACAAGGACTTCAGTTCTCAAGGAGTTAAGAATTGTTGGGCAGCTGCTGCTCTTGCTTAACCTCCCAAAGTTTCTTTGAGGGGGAGAAGGAAACATTCCCAAGGCTGGAGTGGGAAGGGGTATGTGAGTCAGGTTCTTACACTAAGGTTTGTACAGATCTGAGACTCTTTCTACAAGCATACCAGGGCTCTTAGGTATGCTTGTAGTAGAACCATCTGATCCCTGCAGAGGGAAAGGAAAAGGGGGGCAAAGGTGTGAGAACTTTTTATGGCTCAGTGGTTTTTAGGGGACTAATGAATTTATGGCATAGCAGCTCCTTTGGATGGATTTTAAAAGAGTCATGAAACAGGAAAAGTCCATGACACTCTTTCTCATTGTTTTCTCCATCCTGCTCCTCATTAAACTATCCAATGGTAAAACTGTCCTACAGCACACTTCCTGTTTATTCAATTATAGACATGGCAGCACTGCCATACAAGCCTACATTTCAACTCAGTTTCATTGATGAAACCACTTCCCAATCAGCACCAGCTCATATTCCTTATGCTGGCATGGCAGTAAATGTAACTTCTTTTTGAAAAGTAAGCACAGAAAGTAGCAGTGTTGCATACTCTGAATCAATAATATGGAGGATTCTTGCAGATTCTTGAAAAAAAAAATACAGTGTCAGTTTTGTTACTGTGCTAGAAGTCTTTCATTGGCACATTGGTTTTCATTGTGACAAACTAATGGATTGGTGTTACAAGGATCCCTGTAGAGGATGGCGCCTTATATTCCTCTTGTTAAGAGTTTTGGGACAGTATTTCCATTTTGGGAGAAGTCAGATTACAGCCTGTTTAGGCAGAGATATTTTTATCAGAAGCCATTTAACAGTTAGACAAGTAATTAAACAATTACCCTACTGATCAGCAGCTCCCTCAGTCTGAAAGCTTCTCTTCCTTGTAGTCAGGGGCAATCATGACATTCTTTTCTTCCAGGTTCACTTGTATTCCTGTTCAGATAAATCCAAAGATCTTGTTAGCCTGGTTTTACTTACAGCCTCTTATTGCACAGAGCATTCCCTGATCCCTGCTAGCTACAAAAAATACTGAACTTGCTCATCATCTTGACAGACACATGATAAAGCATAAACTGTAGCTATGTCATCACTGTGAGTAAAAAAACCCCAACTTATTATTCCACTTGTTATTTTGCAAATTAATGAGAATTATCAATTGCTGGTCCAGGTATATATCTGCAAATTGTCTGTAAATCAAGGTTTCACATGGAACTTTCACCATCCAATGCCCACTATGCCAGTAAGATCAATATTTGAGCCTGTAATCCATTATACAGCCTCTCCTGGTCATGATGGCTACTCAGCCTGCACTTTCACACACTGCTCTGAAAGCTCCTCATGTGTAAAAGGGAGTTCTAACTAGTGGAAAAAAAAAGGCTTATCTCTAATACCCAGGTAAATTGTGTTCACTGCATGGCAGCTGGTAGTGGGAAGTGGGAGAGATTCCTCTGTTCATTTATAAATTCTGGCTACTTTCAAAGATGCTGTCTAGAACATGGTAAGATAAGCAGGAAGAACTGGCATGGAATGGCATGGCTTGTCTTGTATTTCCATGCCAGGAATTCTGTTGTCAGTGACTTTGTTTTCAAACAGCTCCACTTAGCAAAGTAGAAGGGGGTACTTGGATGTAACAAGCTTTCTTTCACATCATTATCCCTCCTGCAAATTAGGGAAGGGAAAGGCAGGAAAAAGGTCAATACCTCTTTCAGATACTTAGCACTGCATTAGTGAAAAAAACCCCAAACCACTCAAAGTACATCAGTGCAACACAAGCCTGAAAAGCAGAACCTGGAGAATCTGTTTCCAGGAAAAGCCTGGAGTCATCTGGCAGTGTGCTAACATTGCTTTAAAAGCATTTATTCAGCTTCCAGCTAAGATAAAATATGGATAACAGCTATTCAACAATTAAAAATTCAAGCATGAGGCATTGAGGGAGAAGAAAGGAGACCCAAATTTTTAACAGTAAATGTCTTCCTACAGGGACAATATTCTGCACTAATTAGCAAGCAGCACCTCAAATGCAGTGCATGATAAAGCACAATTAACCTCTTTCTAGTACCTTGACTTGTAAGCAACATCTTTGGTTTAAAAATCAAGTGTTCTGTTGTTATATTCCACTTGCAAACTTATCTCTGTATGAGGGGAATGTTTTAGTGACTTCAGTTCTAATACTTCAGCTCAGTGGAAGTCAGGCTGTCATGCTTGCAGTGGTTGGCTCAGTGTGAGGTTCCAATTTCCTGAAATCCCTGGGAATTGACATGCAGGGTTGTCTCCTCCACTTGATACTTGTAAGCTTCTCATTTTTGCTCCTTCAGCCCCACAACTATGAACATCTCCCCTGAAACCCACTATGAATTCCCCCTCCAGTGTAACCTCAAGGCAATTACTAGAAATTAGGTGTTGTACAAACAAAGAAGCAGCCACTACTTTAAGTGTCAGTCTTTTCTATCCAGAAACTTGGAATACATGAGCATAGAGAAATGTAAATTGTAGTGAACACTAGGGACTGTTTATGGCCCTGGATATTCTTGTGTACGATCCTGAAGTGATTGTGAACACAAGATGTGTTTGGCAGTTACACCAGAGCTGAAGCTAATATCAGAGTGCAAAAGACACCATAAGAGATTACCATGCCACCAAATGCCATCCACCCCAGCTGAATTGCTTGCAGTGTTTGCTGGTTGTGCTTAGACTGACAAAGCAACTTTTTCATAGTGTTCCTTTAATTCTGCTCTTTAGCAAGATGCGACATTCCTAACAGCTGTACAAGGGCACTAATCCTGCACTTCAGAAAAAATGAAGGTGCAATGAAGTAGGGCCATGCTGCTAATTTTTGAATAGCGACCAACACAGTGTTTTTGCTCAGCATAATAGCTGCTATTTGTGTAAAGACTCTAGGAATAGGGATGGAGTTGCTGGAATTCACTACAGTTCTAACAGAATAGGTAATCTCTGGGATTGGGAAACACCGCTCGTAAACTTGCACGTACAGTCTGAACCGAAAGAGTTATGGTCTGCTGAATTTTAAGGTAACATCCAAAACAAACGTTGACAGCAACTTGTGCAGAACTGTAACAGAGGGCAAGACACAAAAGAAAACAATGTAAAGCAGACAGCTTGGTAATCACACGGGAACAGCCAGATAAGGGCAGGTGAGACCTTCTAGCCATCTGAACAAACCAAGAGGCTGTACCCACACCAAAACTTGCAAGGCAGCCAAAAAGCCGAATTACGGTCTTCAGCCTGCTTGAGTCACGGTAAATACCATCGCCCCGCTGACGAAAGCTATGTGAGAGCCAAGCTGGAATCGGGCACGGCTGGAATCGGGCTATGTTTGCCACTGGCGATGGTGGCTGGGGAACCCTTCAGGAGAGCGGCGGGCGTGAGGCGCGGGCAGTGACCCCGCTCTCACCTGTGCTGCCCGGGGACGGCTTTATGAGCGCAGCTTTCCTCAGCTCTCCGCACACACGTTTTTCTCCGTGACGAACAAGCCCAGGCAGCAGCGAGCCAAGCCTGGCACGCCGGGCCCCGGGCCAGGGCAGCTCTGCCCTAACATGGCACTCGCTGCCGCCCGGGGCGCCCCCAGGCCCGTCCCTCAGCGGCGCCGGCGGCGGCCGGTCCCGCTCGCCCGGGGCAGGGGCTCGGCCCGCGCTGGGCCCGCCGCTGAGGGCCGGGAGCGGCTCCAGCACGGCCGGCTGCAAATGGCGCCTTCCCGGCCCCCTCTCCGCCGGGCGCGGCCGCCGCAGCTGTCCCGGGCCGCTCTGGGAATCGCGGCTGCTTTCCCCCGCTATGGCTCCCGTGAGAGGGCTCCGCCCTGGACCTCGCCCTGTCCCTCCCGGGAAAAGCCCTCGTCCAGCTACCATCGGGTAGCAGCCGTCCGTCCTTGCCCGCGGTGACGGGTGGCACGGCCGCCCCTCGCTGTGCGCGGCTCCGTGGGCCGGGGTCCCACCGCTTCCCGCACTCGGTGCGGAGCGGTCCCTGTCACTCCTCCGGGCGGCTCGGCCCAGACGGAAGGCGGGGGCCGCCGGGGGAGCGGACCGAGCGCCCGGCCGCTGGCATCCCGTACGTGGGCTCGGCCCGCCCTGTCCGGGGGCCGGCGGGGGCAGCGCTGCGGGGACCGGTCCCGGCCGCGAGGGACGGCGGGCCGAGCGCCCCCGGGGAGGGCCGGGCGGCGGCGCGCCTGGATGCCCGCCCGAGTGGGAACGGGCGGGGAAAGTTTCTCCTGTGCGCGCCCCGTCCGTCCGTCCGTCCCTCCCTCCGCGCCCGCACACTCTGGCAGACACACACACGCTCACAACCCCTCTCCCGCCGCCAGCGGCCGGGGGGCACTTTTGAAAGCCCTTCTGGTTCCACACCCAGCCGCCGCTGACATCATTCCCGCAGGAGGGCGGGCGGAGGCATCGCCGCCGCCACACGGTCGCAGCCCCGGAGAGCTGCCCGCCGGCCCGCGCCCGTGAGTAGCCTCGGCCGGGCGGGGGGCGTGGGGGAGCGGGGCGGCGGCGGGGGGAGCGGGCGGCTTCGCCGACCAGGGGAGGAAGAGACCCGTCAGAAATGGGGGAAAATTAAAAGCACGCGTTTGTTTACTACGAAGCACATTTCATTTGGGTGGCTGCGGTGCTTCGCCGTCGCTGGGCCAGCCGGAGAGAGCGGTCCCGGTCCCGTCGAGCCCCGGCCCCGCTCTTCGCCCCGGGCGTCCGGGAGCGGGACAGGACGGGGCGGGCCGAGGGGCTCCTCGCCAGTGCGTCCAGGCTGGGCCAAGCCAGCAGAAAGTTCGCGTTCTGTACGGGATGGTTTCTTTCTGTTCTTTTCTCTAATGAACTCTCAGCGGAGTTCGCGTGTGTTGCAGTAACGCTGTAGCAGTTCTTGGCAGCAACCCCCCGGACAGTGGAAGGAAAATACACTTAGATGTAATTCAGTGCAGATTTCGGTTTATGAAGTTTTGGCCAGCATGAAACGTTTTTCTGCTTGAGTCGAACTGCAGTTTCACTCACCGGTGGTTTTTATCTATAGGTAATGCCCCACTTACATCGGGGATGTTGTGTGCCAGATACTGGACAGGCAGCTCTCAGTATCGTGAGTTGTCTGCAATATTGAGTATTGAATTTGAGAGGTCAGCTCCTTGTTTGGACATTTCTAGGAAGAACAGTACATTGCTATCTGTTCCTCAGCAGGCTTATCCACGACTTGTTCTTACCCACAGAATGCTGCCACCAAGAAACCTGCACTTCAGCCTCTCTTTTAATTTATTGGCAGGAATACTTTGTTCACATGGTGCAGGAAGGTCTTTTTTTTTCCCCTCCTCACAGCAGTTGGGAATAGTATGTAAATGATCAGTAATTATTGCTGTAGAATATCTTAGTAGTATCCTCTGACTTGGTACAGGGCTGTGAAGAAACTCACTAAATAGCTGTGAAATCCACACTGAATTACCTTGGCATTTTCTTTAGGAACTTTGGAAGTAAACAGCTATGGTTGGCTCATCGTCAGAAAAACAAAATGTAGCTCTTTCTCTTCATTTACTTGCTGACTGTATATACAGTGTTGGTGTGTTAGCTATATAAAATAAGCCTTCTTGCCTACCTGAGCAGATGTTTTTTCTATCAAATAAAAATAATCTATAGTGACTCTTTCATCCAGACCTCCTCTCACATGTTGAAGGCTTTGCTGTCCTTGTAGTTCAGACGAGAGCTGTGAGGCTGTGCTGCTGGGACTGAGGTGCCAGGTGGCTGCAGGTGTGGGCAGGCAGGAGTCCACACAAATGGTAGGGGACTGTTGGGCATGAGTGTCACTGGGGGGAGGAATGGGAATTATACTTTGCTGCACAGTCCATCAAGACTTTTGTAAGAGAGTGTGTGACAAATGCCATCCTAAGGAATGCAGCTGGGGTACAGGTACTTGCCACAGCTGGTGAAATCAGAGTGGGAGTGGAAACGAAGGCATATGGTAAACATGGGCAGCAGAAGCTGATATGACTTTATTCAGCATAAGATTTAAGGACTTCACCTTTGCTTCAAAGACATTGAAAGAAGGAACTCTGGCTGTTCTCTGAACCTCCTTGTGAACTTGTAGAGTTGAGTTAGGAAATAGACTGTTGGGATACCTGAGGGAAGATTCATCCTCCGTGCTGAATAAAGATGTGTACAGATTGTATCACGCCAGCTTCATGGCTGACGGGGATGTTACCAGGTCCCTGTCTGCCCAGGAATCCAGGAATTGCTCTGCCAATAGCCATCAACATTAACTGGAGCTGAAATGCAGCAATACCTTGAAGACTCTTCATCCTGATCAGTTTCTTGTTAGTATGCTCATTGAGGAAGAAAAATGGTGTGTTAATATAATTTCAAATAAAAACAACATGCAATCAGTAGGCAAGACACTACTGGTGTTGTATTCTTTGTTTGTGGTCTGGAAAGACTTCTATCATAAACATGCAAACAGTGTTGATTATGCTGTGGATTTGCCAGTAAGGAAAAACAGTTAGTTTTATTTGGTTACACAGATTTAAAACCTTGTTAATAAAGGAAGTTGTTCAACAGACTGAGCAGGTCAAGACTGAGACTGCTGCAACATTATCTTAGACAAAGAATCTGTCTCAGTTCATAGATGCTGGAGTTACTGTTGCTGGCCAACATTGTTTAGAAGAAATGAGCATCTCTATCTTACACCCACTTTCAGTTAATGCACTTGACCCCTCTTGATTTATTAGCATCTCCTGCTTCACAGTTGCCTTGTGTCTTTCTTTTACTTCTACTATTATGGCTTTTATTTTGTTGTCTTGTTTGTCTCAAGGTTGTTTCCCAATTCAGGTTTGACATTCCTTCAGTGATTAGAAGAATGTTGTACTGATGAGTCCCATGTGGGTATTTAGAGAAGCAAGACTTTACTTTTGCTAAGTATATTAGGTGTAGGCTGTCTCCATTCATAATGCAGTTTCCCTGTCATTTAAAAATGAAATCAGTGGCAGCACAAGGAGACTCTTCCCTTTTCACTTGAATATATTTTGATTTTCCACTGGCACTTCACATTCAATTTGCGTCCTGAGCATCATGTAAGACATGACATCCCCACATAAATCAGGACAAGAATGTGTTTAATTAAAGTGATAAGTAGGTCTCTGGGGACAAGGTCTTTCATACTGCTAGCTGGCAGATGTACTTTCCAGGTCCTCCTCCATGTTCCTGTTGGAAGAACACCCAGCAGAATGAGGCACTGTGTTATACAGGAACTAATAAGAAAGATATGTACTCTGAGGTGAAACAAACACTGTATGTAAAATCCATGTGAAACTTCAGCACAGCCAAATATGAAAGTAGAAAGGAATGCACAGCTTTTATTGAAATCACGTTGGTCTCAGAGGGAATGCAGGGAGAACATAAGCACAGTGCTAAGGAATTCCATTCATGGAGCTGTTCAGTGTTTGTTAGGGTTTGCTTGTTTTTTGGATGCTCAAAGCAAACCATGATCTTTGCAGTGGAGTTTCAGTTTTTGCTAAAAAAATTACTGTTTTAGAGAGTAGATAGTTTTGTAAAATATACCTCAAAATGTCAGCTGATGCTTATGACTTCATTAGGAAGATAAGTATCATAATTATTAGAAAATACATCTTGCTGGGTGAGACTCAAGAAAAAGACTGATGGCCTGAATTCATCCATCAAAGGAATTATTATATCTCCACTGAATAGGGAAAATGTAATTACACCTTTTTATTTTGCTGGTGAAGTTTCATGGGCAGGTTTAATGATGGTATGTGCATGCCAGGTGAAGCCTCATAATTTGGGTGTGACCTTAAAATACAACCCTCTGGCTGTGTAGAGATCTTCACAGGAGTCTGTAGGTGGAGCAGAAAGTGGACTGACTCAAATACCCCGTAGAGATGGCTATAGGATATATATTTATGGTTTGCTTCACTGACTCTTAAACACTGTGCTATGTTTGGGATTGCATGGGCCACAAACAGCTGAGGTGGGCAGTAGGAACACTCAGCTGTGTAATGCAGGTGTTCAGTGTCCTGAAATAGATCCAAATTCTGGCCTTCTTCAGCACAGAAGGAGGCCTTCCAAAGGCCTGGATGTCTCTACTGAGGTGCATGTGCTGCCAGGTGGGCTCTGCACACTCACCTGTTCTCCAGGGCTCGCAGTGCTCAGTCCCCTGAAGAACAAACTTGCTGTTTAGTTCCAAGGCGGAAACAAACCCAAGTCCAGAGCCTGCAGAACAGTCTGTGAACAACTGAAGGGCTCTGGCTGAGCCTGCCCATCTGTCAGGGTGCTTGGTGTACCCTTCCCTGGCCCTGTGGCTGTGCAGTGGCCCAGGCACTGTCCAGCCTGGCAAGGTGCAGCTGCCAGGGTGGATCAAAGTGACCCAGGGGCTGAGCAGCCAGCGTAGAGGAGCTGTGCACCGAGTGTGCTCAAACAAGGCATGGAAATCCTTCTACCTGGATTTGTAGAGTCCACATGGCAGCTTTAATGGCACTGATTACAAATTATGGTGTAAAAATTGCATTCTGGAGGTAGGCAGAGTATTCAGTGTAATCCTGTGCTGCAGTGTTGCTGTCAAACAAAGTAGTAATTGTGGAGAGTTTAAGCTTTTTGTTTTATAACCAACTGTTGTACCACCAATAGAAATGTGTTTTCACACTCTTGATAGATGATGTGTAAACTCTGAAATAACTAAAACCAAAATTTCTCAACACAGAGCTAGTCAAAGCCAAATCAAAACAAGCAGTTTGAAAATTTTATAACAGTGAATGCAACTCATTTAATTGCTAGCAATTTCCACAGAGCATCTGCCAAAGTTAAAACAATATCAGCTTTTATTTCTACAGAATTAAATGCATTGCTTTCAATCTGGAAAGACAGACCTTTTCTGCCTTTGTTTGTTGGTTAATTAGGTGGAACATCATAAATCAGTCGAGCTGTTCTGTTGTATCTGGAATAATCTCTGGATAAGCAGCCGTCTGTAGTCAGTAGAGCCCAGGGTCTGAGGTTCACTCAGAACTATGTTAATTTCTAGTCAGTGCTGCAGGTGTGCTTTTTTTTTCTTCCTTTTCATTGACTGAGGACACATTTTATCTGTCAACCTGATAAAAAGGTCTGGTATTTTACTTGGTCTGTCACTCCCTGCCCTGCCAAGGTATTGAACAGAGACACCCTCGACACTGAAATGTGTCCACACAGTGATTGAGCAGGGGTGAGGCCAGGCCACACCTCAGTTCAGCTGTTTGTTTCAGGAGCAGGTTCCCGGGAGGGTTCCCATAGCTTGAATAGCTTACTGGAACAGCCCCGTGTCATTGTCCCAGCGCCATGGAGCCAGAGGCAGGGCTGTGCCAGCAGGCTGCCAAGGGCTCTGTGCTTGCTGCCCCTGCCCTGGGGGCTGGCAGGCAGTGGGGGCCCTTGGGTCACCCTCAGACAAGGGGCTCAGGCTGTGCTCACTCTTGGGAGCTCTGCTGCCCACCTG